AAATCAACAGGTGGTGTACTGCTAGCAGATTGGGAGCAGATTGGGACCTGTGGCACCCATTACTATACCATCATCCCTGTCAGTGGAGGCTGTTGAGAAGAACCGAGGTATAGTAGTGGTTAAGATCCCAGATGAGGGGCAAGGAGAAGTCTGCACTTTTTTATGATGTGGGTCTTTCAGGTGCTGTTGCCAACGGGCTGCATGGCAGGTCGTCATATGTCTTGTCAAGCATGTGGTGCCCAAACAACTGGTGTGTTCGCCACACTTGATCCAATTCAGACAGAGACTTCAAACAGCAATGCTGTGGTCTGCTGCACGTGTTGAAAAAACCCACACCAATGAACTTTTGGAAGTCAGTGGGGAGTCAGCAGCGCCCTGCACACCTGTGGAGCTCTGTCAAGTGATGCAATACGGTGGCTGCCCTTACGCCTGCCCCTGGAGGACATCCTGTCTCGTTAGAGTTGTGCCTCCTCCTCACTTTCCTACTCTGTTCTCTCAGGCACCAAAGTACAGTTAGTAACCTCATCATCCCCTCCCTCCTTGTCACTGGAGCCAACTTGGCAGTATGCTGCACCTTGGGGAACATGACTGACAATTTCTTGCCCATCATTGGCACCCCTCTCTCTAAGCTCATGTCACTCCCTTCATCAACCTGGGAACCATCATCAGAGCATTTAATATGGTGCGCATCCTCCAGCAGCATGGGACTGAAACTATGTTTGAATGATTCAGCTGACTCCTCGGTGCATGATGGTGGGGCTACAGAAAGAGCAGCTGTGGACAAAGAGCCTGTGGAATAGGCCACTTTGGCAGCTGCTGTGGAAGGCGAACTAGTATGAGCCTGTGTAAAAGAGGATGAGGATGGCTTAGTTATCCACTCACCACCTCTTCTTCATGTTGTGGCTCGATAACCCGGCTAGCGCCAGAAAAAAAAAAAGTGTGCCCTGCCTGCAGAGGATACACTATGTCCACGACCACCAATTTTCACTGTGGACAGAGGCTGCATGCCCTCTTTTAGCCGCTTGTGAGTGTTAGCCTCTCCTTGTTGGCCTTTCGGACATGACGGGGATTTTTATAATTTTTTATTTTAGAGTGTGGGATGGGAATTTGGTGCTTTGGTACAATACGTTTGTGCTTGTCGCACTATAAACGGTTTTATTATTGTTTTCTTTTTTTGGGGGGGGGGTTTAATAAAGCAAATAGGGTTTTTTTTCTTTTTACTGCTGCTGTGGCTTAATAAAAAAATTGAGAAAGCCAAACCCCCCCCCAAAAAAAAAAATCACTGGTGACACAGAAAGGAGAACACCTGCAATGCAGAAGGGGGAACAGCAATAATGCCCTAAATATATTTAATGCAGCTGCTGTAGCACAAAAAAACATGTAATTCAATTAAATTTAATTTAAATTAAAAAAATTAACAAAGCAAAAAAACAAACAAAAAAAACACTAATGATGCAGTAACAGAACCTGACTGATGCTGCAAACATTAAGAAAAAAAAAATGAGAACAGCAGTGATGCTGTAAGACACGCTGACACTTCACTGACACCACTACACTGCTCTTCACAACACCGCACTACATTACACTCCTAATACACCACTAACTGCACTAAACTCCAGCAACACACTACACAAGGCTGCTGTGTAAGCCTTATATAGCGTGGGGCATGGTCATGATTGGCCAAAGTCACCGTAACTTTGGCTAATCATGGCTCTCACAGTGCATTGTGCTGTGATTGGTCAAAGCATTGCACCTGACCTATGGCCAGGTGTGTTGCTTTGGCCAATCAGGGCTCTCACAATGCACTGTGAGAGCACAGTGCATTGTGGGCCGCCCTTACAGTTCGTGTGTTCGGCGAAACACACGAATGGACAATGTTTGAGTCCAACATATGTTATGAGACCAACACTAGTAATGAAGATGGAGATATGGACAAGTTTGTAGTTCATAACAGGCAAGAAACTTTAGGTGACAACCATGGCTCCCTTCATAGACACAGTGGAGAAGTGACGTAGCCACCCAGAGACAGGAAGTGTGTTATTTGAAGGATTACAGGGGGGAAAACACAAACTGAATGCAGCCACCACACCAAGGGCCAGTAAGCTGCAATATATCAAATTTTTGGTTTAGATACAGTTTACCTTTTTAGATAAATGTTTACAAAATGTGAATGTACCGTACATAAAGCTCTTTAGAACACACAGTACAGGAAAACACTCGAATGCAGTTGACTTGCTGTTAAAGATTTTATTTTTCTACTTGTACAGCTATTGTTTACATTGCAGTAATGCAGTTTTAGAAACAGCCCAAACCCTGTTTCCCGGCAGTTCATTATTAACAGAAGCAGGACAAAAAGCATATGAAGTCAACAAAAGGAGAATAAAAACGAGAAAAAAAAATGATTGACCTTTCCTAAAGATTAGTGACTAGCTTTAGGCTGTACCTTGGGAAATAAAAAAAAAAAAAAGATTGGGTTCAAACATTCATTAACCCCTTCACTGCCAGGAGGACTAGCAACATGTTGCTCTATCCCTCTGGCACTGATGAAGTTAAAAGGCACCAAAAGACAAAAAAATATACATATTTACAAACATACAATTAGAACAAAACAAAAAAGTTACACAATCCTTCGACAGGGTGTCTGAGTTTTTAAAACATACTGTAAACCTTCACATCCAGAAAACAAATAAACAAAAAATACAAATAGACTGTTGCGTTTAGACAAAATATCTTCTCACGTACACTGGTGCAATACATTAAAATATCTTGTAAGTGCTCTATCACAATAAAACAAATCTCAGATTGGATTCTGCCCGCAGATACAATCTAAACGTTTGCTGTATTTCAGATTTTTTATAGCGCTTTATTTTTTTAAACCTTTTTTGTCCTTTTTGTTTTTCATCTTTATTATATAGGTATATTTTATATATATTTTTTACAACTCTGCCATAAATTCCATTTCCTTTGGTTAAAACTATAACAAAAGTTAAAGCCCTCTCTTAAAAAGCATTCACAATAATTCTTTGTTCTATTTTTATTTTTTCAACTCGTTATATTGAGTGCACATGTTGCATACCGTAAAATTAAATACTTTTGTATATTTTTTAAGGGTGCAAGAAAGTATGAGACTAGAAAAATATTGGATTTAGGTGCCTCCTAGTGCTGGTATAATATTGCAGTCATAGCAAAAAAAGGCACCTTTTGGGTCGCATCAGCCTAATTTACAAGGCAAGGCTACCTCTGGACACCAGAGAGCCTCATTGCTTTTACAGGACAGGGGCTAAGGCGGGGTAGGACATGTGCCAGACTGCTCAGGCAGAAAAAATAAATCCCATTTGAAGAAGGGCAGTCAAGTGAACTTACCATATCTAAGGAAATCCCTACCTTTGTGCTGCCTTGACCAAGGTCAATCTTAACTTTGTAATGCCCTGCTCCTCTGCAGAACATGATATTGGGGATTGAAGGAGTATGCACTTATACTCCCCCACAATCATTAATACAGGCAGCACCTGAGGCAATGCAGGGCCAATGGATGGTGAGAAGACAACAAACCCCAAACTTGTAGGTGAGAACCTTGCCTTTACCATCCATGACAAAGTGCACCTCAGTATTTACTGAAAGGTAGGAATGTCCCTAGCCACAACACTAATGTACTGAACTAAAAGCTTGGTGCATTTGTCTTTTAGCAGAAGCTTCTGTTAGCAAGAAATGTACATTACTTTATATTTCCCCTCATTTCCAAGTACATAAGACCTGTAGCACCTGGCACTAAAGAATACATTTGATAAAAGTGCGTTCAGTACTGTGTGCACTTTGCCCTCTACAAATAAACACTTTGTGAGATGTTTATTAAGGGAAGTGCAGTGTAGGCAGTTCCATGCTAGTATTTAAGCACAAACTTAGTATTTTCATTGAAAGTTTTCTTACCAACAAGTGTTTTACCAGCAACCAACACTGATTATCAAAAGTTAAGAGAACTCTATCCACCGCTAAGTGCTTCAAAAAGATTGCCACAAACCTGTCTTGTGCTTAAAAAGTGCTAGCATTGAAAGCCCTGTTCTTAAGATTAGCGCTTTTATGTTTGTAACTGTTGTCCCAAACACATCACATCAGAATATCTGTAGGGGTTGAATTATGGGTTCAAGAGTTAGTTGTAGACAAGGTGCTTAATTCAAGTGCTTAGGCTTTGTTGCATCCATAGAATACATCTCCCCTCAGTATAAGGATTCGATATTGTAACATTGTTCTAAGGATTCATGTCTAAATGACTAGTATTCCCATTTTGTACCATTTTTCTTTCAGTCACAAAACATTGTGGTTTGGTTCTAATACCATTCTACCAAATGACACACTATAAGCCACTAAAAAGGTGCTTTCTGCAGGATTTCTTGGCAAATATTAGCAAAGTAAGCAAGTTATAATAATGCCTTAATATAGGCTTCAAACACTTTGATCCTCCAATCATTGTTGAAGTAGAAGAACCTTAAAATTTAAAGCTGGCACTTATACTTCAGCAACAGATGTTTTCCAACATGCTAAGCATCTTCCGAAGCAAGAAGACCTTACTGAGCCACTTTACATATAGTCTGCATTTCACCCATTCATATGGCTGATGCTTCAGACATTATAAACTGCCCCACAGGGGAGCACCAGTGCAATAGAAGCTGGGTCAGCATAGCTGGCTTTAAACCTGCCTTTTGCATCTCCAGCCGCTTTCCAAATTCAGTCATTTCCATATCACTCAGGTTCTCTTGTGCTGAGAATTACAAGGATGAAATGATAAAAGAGTGCATGGATACTACACCATATGAATATAGGAAAAATATATTTTATATATTTATATATATATATATTTATATATATTAGTTTCTTTACACTAAAGGGTGCACATTTCACATGACCAGGACAAAAATAAAATAAAAATAGCTAAACCCGTTTTGTTTCACCCATCTGCACTAACAGGTCAAAGAGAGGCACTCCAGAATCGGTGTGGGCAGGGCTCAGCAAGACTTAGGGAGTTCCACTGGAAGCTCTGTGGAGGACACACGATACTGGACTTTTGTGTTAGTGATTGCTCCGTGTTTTTGACGTAAATGAAGTCTCAGTTGGCTCTTGTGGCGGAAATGGAGGTTGCACTTTTCACACTAAAAAAAAACCGAGATGAAAGTTAACATATTTAAAAGCAGAAGTTTACAATGCTCTTTAAAACTGGAAAAGTAAAGATACATGGAACACAGTACTACAGAACATATCTTCATTGTAATCACCAATGCCAAATATTGAAATTGGGACTTTTATAGCTACAAGGTGATGGCTAGTCCTTTACAATAATCTATATAAAGATTTATTGAATAAGCTAAAACAAAGAACATATACTGTAAAGTGCAGTAGCCCATAACAGACTCTAGTCTCCTGTAAGATCACTAAAAAATCAATTACAGTTAGTTTCAATGGGTTACTATACTTTGGGGTTGACTTACTAAAGCTGAAAAGTGCAAAATCTGGTGCAGCTCTGCATGGAAACCAATAAGCTTCCAGGTTTAGTCAAAGGTTAATTGAACAAGCTGAAGTTAGGGGTCGATTGACTATCATGCACAGCTGCACCAGATGTTGCACTCTCCGGTTTTACTAAATTAACCCCTTTGTCTTTTGTTGGTTTGAATAAACTAGTAATTCTTTACTTTTCAAATGAAAGAATCAAAGAGTTAAAGTGTCAAAGTATAATAAAATACACATTAAATAGCACTTATATTCCATAGCTGATTAACATCTGGTATACATTAAGCAAAACTAAATGCCTGATACTGATTCAATGCAGAAAGATGGCAGCATTTCCCCGCTATTGTACAATATTTTTAGCTGAAAGTAGACAACCCCTCTTTAATGTCATATCTGTTCTGAGCTAATAAAACCTAGAGAAGTAGCTCTGTATTAGAACAGACTGGCTGCTTTAGTAGAATCCCCTCCACTAAGACTGAAGAATATGAATGCATAAAATGCAATTGGAAAGCATTTTTATCTACATATTACAAAATTTATAGTGAAAATTAAGTCAATGTTTAGGGTATTTCAATGAAATGGCTTACAATAGATGCTGCATCCTAATGTTTTAAAGTTTTCTTTTCCTGTAGAATCAGCTGTTGCCCTGTGCACATGATTTAGGGTGGCTCCCACAATTGCATGCATCTCCACAAACACAGAGACAAAAAGCCTAGGATTGAAAGCCCCTCCCCTGCTCCTCCTTCCTCTAAGCTAGTAGATGGATAACTGTTGGTGATTGAGCTGTCTTGTGACCATTGTCCCTTGTGACCTGATACTCTCCCCAACAGGAAGTTCAGGAAAGCTGAGCAAGGGGCAGTGAATTCTAAATAATGTTAATGTTTGTGCCCACATAGATGTCAAATTATGTACTGGGAAATTAATACCATTTTTTATTGCATTACCTAATAAACATGCAGCATTCAATACTGCTTTAAACCATTTCTGATTCAAGCACATTGGACTGAAGAAGTAACTTACATGGTAGGGCTTCTCTCCAGTATGAATACGAAGATGGCTCTTTAACGTCTGCAAGTGTCTGAATCTAGTGCCACAGATCTCACACGGGTAGGGCTTTTCTCCAGTATGAATCAACACATGTGCACGAAGGTGGGCAACCTGTGAGCATAAAGAAACGATTATATAAACACTGATTTCTACCTCTGTGCCACTACACTGTGAGAGAGGTAGTGGAATTATGGATGAAACATGTTAATTATGTATGCATTGAACTTAAATGCAACCCAAGGAGTAGAAAATGTCTCTTCACACTTGGCCCACAGAAACCTGTGGATCAGAGTGCCAAAGCTAACCGTGTCCAGTAAGAATTTATCAGAAGGCTTACAGCATGGTGAATTGGGACAATGGGGTACAATAGTAAAGTGGGAATAAATTTTACACATTACCCTTCAGCCTCTCAATACACTCAAAACACTTTGTGGATGGTTTTCTATAATTCACAAGGCTCCATACGTAAGAAAACAACCATCAAATTATAAGACTACATTACAGCTATTTACATTAAAAGGTTTGAGTTTAGTACGTTTAAAGTAAACAAGTATTGGTCTATTCTACATAAATGCTAAGTGAATCCTAACAATATACTAATAAAGACACACTCTAGGAATCGTACCTGTACAAAGCGGGCTCCGCAGGTCTCACACTTGTATGGTTTTTCTCCAGAATGAATTCTTGTGTGGGTCTTTAAGTTTGCAGGCCGGTTAAACTGTGCACCACAGATACTACAGCGATATGGCTTCTCACCTGATTGACAGAAAGCAAGATTCATTAAAATATGAATCTGTGGATTAAAAGAATGAAGACATTTTACTGTGGCCCTTTCTAATAGATCTATACCTATAGGCAGCTCATCAGCATGTGTGCCACCATAGCACACAACTTGCTATGGTGGCACATGCAGAGGAGGCAGAGCAGAGAGTGCCAGCAAGGGAACTCCAACAGAGGAAGTTAGGTGCTGCTCTGTGCAAAAGTAAAAATGTAAGTACAAAGTATAAACCCCTTTTTTATTTTCGGACAAAAATAAAAAAAAAAGTCAAGGCTTTACAGTCACTTTCAATAAAGAGATTGGGCACCTGTCTGACATGCAAATGTCAACCTAAACTGTACATCCCTATAGCACCTTGCTACCCTATAGGCACTGGGAGGCAGTGACATCACTCAACAGATTTTAGGTGATGCATGCACAGAAACACCATCCACCTATACCCCCCCAGGTAGTGAGTGACATTAGACTGCATTAAGGTGTTTGTGTCCTGGATAGTCATGTATGCAGAATGCCCTTCCGCTTCCCTTTCCCAGAGAAACACTAGTATCACAAGCTGGTAACTATCAGAGGATGTCTTCCCAGCTTCAAACCAGTGAAAATGTGATGCAACCACAATGCTGCATCAGAAAGCAGTTTTACAATGTTTTATTTTTTAAAAAATTCAAAACGCTATGAGCAAATGGGCACATTTAGCTGTATAAAGTAGTACTTGGTTAAGTGTAAATAAGTAAGGATATCAGCAACACACCAGTATGAACTGTCTTGTGGCTGGCCAGGTTCCCCTTGTAGCGGAATGATGCTTGGCAGCGGTCACACTTGTAGGGCTTGTCACTGTGCATTTGTAGAGTGTGTCTTTTCAAGGAACCCTCCTCAGAGAAACGAGAGTCACATTCATTGCAGAAGAATGTACCATTTTCTTTAGAGGGAAGGAAAAAAAACACACACACACACACCACATTAGAAATACCAAAAATGGATTTAAAGACAAAAGTGTTTTGACCCTTACCAACCAAAATTCAGCAACTGAAATATTGTTTGCCATAGGTTACTGTACTTTTATTGCTTAACTAAATAAGCTTATAAAAGGTCAAATGTGTGGGTTTTTTTTTGCATAAACTCAGAACTTAATTGCACTGGCATCATGAACCACACTAAATTCTCACTAACTCGAAACTCAGTAAAGCACTTCCTTTTTTCAACCAGCAAGCACTGGATTAATGTACATTTACCATCTACACAGAGAGAAATAAACTAAACAGATATGGGTACAATTTTACTACAATTTTGACTATTTGTCAACTACACATACCGGTATACCTTGTAGAACTACTGTAGGGCCCCATTCACACCTGAATGATTTTATGCTTGTAGCTCTAAAACCCTTAAAAGGGCAAATCCCATTCATTTCAATGGCCCTCATTCACATCTGAGGATTCTGTCGCCTCTAGCAAAATGCCTGCCACTCACAAAAGTACATGAGCTTCTTTGTGGCAGACTGGGAGCAGATTGAGGCCCACAGACTTCAATGGGAATGCTTCCAAACACACGACATGAGCTTTTTAGGAGCATTTTGTTGTACTTTTCTGCCCAGATAGCAGCTCTCCACCTCTCCTCCCCCTAGGGCTTTTTACTGGCTAAACAAAAACTCCAGAAGCTGTAAAAATGCTTGTAATACATTAAAAAAAAAACTCTCAACAAATTAAACAAAAAACGCTTGTAATACACTTCCAAAAACCACTCAAACACTCTAAAAAAAAACCCCCAAATGTTTGAAAATTGCTCCGCTCAAGTGTGAACACAGCCCAAAGATTTATCCAAGGACTGTGGTGGAATTCACAGAGCAATATGGTATGTTTAGTTTATGTTTTTGTAGAATTAATCTGTAGTAGGGGACAGTAAAAAAAATATAAAAGCATATCCCAAAAACAGACAAATGAGAAGAAGTACCATTTTCACACTGTGTTATTAAATAATTTCAAACATGAACACATACCACAGCTTGAATCTGAATATTCTGACCGAGTCTCAGTTATCTCTTCTCCGAAGTTAGAACCAGGGGTGTGGGGGACACATTTCAGGAGGGGACTGTGATGAAAACATGCTGAACTTAGATGTGTGGATGTAGAGAGGGGAATGTCCTTCACTGCTTAGGGGTGATCCTTCCATTGTTCTGTGGAAACAAGTCATAAAACAGGTTTAGAGCAGGAATGTACAGCCACTAACTTTTAACTGTCAAACTGAATGTCTACTAAAAGAGTATCTCCAGCCAAACCTTTTTTATGGGCAGAATAGTTAAGGATTATATTACTCTTTGTTTTCATCTGTGGCCCTTTAGAGATTTCCCCTTCTTTTACCAGTTGAGTGGAAATCCTCACTGGGGACACATCCTGACAGTTTTAATTGCTGTAGCATCTCTTATGGAGATGTTTACCCTCACTTCATGTCCAAATGACAGTTTTGGGGAACTGAGGAGAAAATCTCTCCTGCAGACATGCAATCAGCAACAAAGAAAAAAAAAAAAAAAGAGGTTCTATCTTGTCCCCAACCTTACCAAAACAAAAAAAATGTTTGGCTGAGTTTCAAATTTTAACATAAATTTGAATATACAAACTAACAATACTCAACCACATTCATTTTTTATGTTATAAAAGCTCCGAAATAACAAAAGCTGGCATATAGTTGTGGGTTGCATTGTCTTTTAATTAGACCCATATGGTTACCTGTTAACAATGCCATTGAGTTTGCTAGCCTGCGATACTGCCGAGTCATCAGTGTTCCCATTAAGCTTAGGTGACGTCTGAATGTCCAGGTTTTCAGACTTGACTGACTGTTGACAGGATGTTTGAGATGTGTAGAACTGTGGAGACAAGTTTTCCATTTCACTTTGAGTGGCACATCCTTTTTCATTCTGGTTGAGAGAATTAAGCAACTTGTATTTTTTCCAGTTGCAAGCTTTTGGGTCAGTAAAGGCTTTGGACACTGGAGAACCAGATCCTTGTGAAATGCGGGCATTTTTACTGCTGCTGGATTCTGTAGGAGAATTGGGCTGGCAATCTGACTTCTGAGGGCTTTGAGGGCTTACAAGACCCTTACGACTGACCGGAGAGTTTGTTGGTTTAAAGTGCTGAGTGATTTCATCCTCTGAGGATGTCCGCTCCTCCTCTTTCCCTTTGTCACAGCTGTAGTATGGACTGCTTCTAACAGAGGGACCAGCAGACCGAGAGCCTGCCAAAACATTATAGTGAGAGTCACTATGAGGGTCTTCCAGTGCTGCCTCCTTTGGAGAGTACACATTGTGGCACATATTTACAGATATATCCAAAACACCTTTCCTGTATTCTCCTATTACAGTCCTTGAATTTTCTCCAGGTAACACACTGTCCTTGGGATACCTGCTGGTTCTTTGCATGTCAGTCATTTGCACATCTCTTGCCTCATCCTCTGGAAATAGGAACCCATGCACTGGAATGTGACTGTAGAGAGGGTAGGAGGATGGAGATCCACTGTAAATGTTGGGAATGTAGGACCTTCCATCACAAATGGTTGTGTTACGAACTGATACGGTATTTTCTGGCATCTCGCAGTTTCTGTAGGCCATAACATCTGGAGGTAACATTGTCCTGCCTTGCAAGAAGTCCTCTCTGGATGGCTTCACAGAACTCACAATATCCTCGCTGAAAAAATAAGACACAAGTCCTTAGACTTTCACACAACTACATATAACAACAATTTTCTTTTTTTACCATAAAGAATCAGAGTATCCAAGAGTCTTCTCTTACAGGAAATCGTGTGGGTTTGTATCAGTCACTTTTTTTTATCTCTCTAGCAGCTCCACTGATGAAAGCTCTCTAAGGTAACTTACAAATCTTTACCAGCCCACATTAGAGCTACAACAATAATGTTCCCGCTACCCTTCTTGTATTCTACACAATAAACAAGAAGTCCCAAACAGGTTTGAAGACCTGGGGAATCAAGTGCAGAGATCTCACTGTCATTGTCCCTGAGAAACACAAGAAGCAGTTAAGTGATTTAAAGTGGTAGTAAACCCTTACATCTACCAAGTGAAGTAACTGGCCTCAAGTGATACACAGAGATGAAACAAATCCTCCTACATAGGCTATACCTGTCTATATGCAGTCTTCTCTTATCTACATCTGTTCAAAGTGCTGAATTTGAACAGCTTGTCTGAGAATTAAAAAAAAAAGGAGGCAGAGAGCTGAAGTTACACTCTGCAGAGCTCAAGGAAGGGAGCTTTGAGAGCTAGTTGGAGGGTAGAGACACACCCTTTCCACACAGCACACAGGAACAGAGCTGAGGCTGTCAATCTACTGGAGGTCCCTCCCTTGTCACCATTTTTCTCCTGGTGTCAGGAAAACTTGTAAGAAGTGACTTATGCTGATAGAGGAACAAAGCAGCAGACAGAAATTACACTTAGTGCACTTAATTGTACACACTATAGAGGGATATCTTTTGTTCATATTTGGTGTCTCAGGTTTACAACCACTTTAAGTGTCTGAGGTCTACCAAACAAATTGAATATTTCAGTTTGGGTTGACTGGCTTCTTTGAAAGTTTACTTCAGGATGGAAGAACAAAAACACAAAACAGTAAAATGAAAGAAAATAAAAGTTACCTTGACTTGAGGAACCTTTGACAGGTATCTACAACATGTTCCATTTGTAGGTAAAGTGCAGTGCTCATAACTGCCATGATGCTACTGTCTCTTAAACTAAGCCGAGATGTGTACATGAACTCCAGCAGGACTCGGAAACCCTCTGCACTGATTTCTGGATCAAGGTTTATGATGCTCATATTGCACTTCATCTGGTCGGTGAAGATTGTATAAAACAGTCCACTGTGAAAGATAATAGTTTTGAGATTTGCATCTTCTCAGAATGCAAAATATACTGCTTACACGTCTGCTCTGCTAAATTAATTGTTACTGAGCTGCAGTGCAGACACATGGGAAACAGTGTCAAAGTTCAAGGCATCCTATACTCAAGTTACACCTTTTTTGCCTGTAGGCTCCTTTGTGTCCTGACTAGTCATGTGAGGGGTCTGTAAAACCTGTTCATTTCATATCTAAGATTGTATTTTTCTTTTACAGTTTAAGGTCAGTTCAAAGTGTATTATCCCACCACAGATGCTTTTTGGAGTTTATTTTGGTGCAATGCCCTGCAAGCGGTTTCTCCCATAATCAAAAACTAGTAATAATTAAAAAAAAAAGTAAGCTAATCGACTTCCATCTGAACTGACTTTATAGTGTATCTGTGGTAGGGTATTAGAATGTAAGGTAATTTGGGTGAGTGGCTCTCTATAAACATTCTAGGGGAAAAAAAGTGTCTGCACTATAGAGTAGAATAGGCAAACAGAGTAGCATCATAGGGGGTAATTTACTAAAACTGCATAGTGCAAAATTTGGTGCATCTCTACATAGAAACCAATCAGCTTCCATATTTTAGAGTCAAAGCTTAATTGAACAAGCTGAAGTTAGAAGCTGATTGGCTACCATGCACAGCTGCATCAGATTCTGAGTGCACCAGTTTTAGTAAATCTACCCCTCAGTGACATACTGCTAAAAACCTAATAGCTGTCATACTGAAATTTGACAAGCTCTGTTCTTACCTGCAAGCCATGAGCACTGTCTTGTGAGCTCGAAAGTGCTCCCTGTTTACAACGATGATCACATCTGTCAGAATGTCCCTACTTCGGAGACGGTTCAGGTTCAGGAGAACATCACTGGCATGTCGAGTGAACTGAATACAGCTGTCAGTTGCCGACGTCATTTTTGCCCGTATCCTAAAAACATTAAAAACGTTGCATTTAAAGGCAGAATATAGGATACCTGGAAACCTTTTTAACTGTAAGCACTTAGGAGTATGCTTTGGCATTTGTGCTATATTTCAAACAAGTTTCAACTTCCACTTTTAGCGGTTTGTGTTATTTATGGATCAGTGAATCTTCAGCAGTTATGAAAGTGATGAAATGTGCAGGTGCAACTCCCACTGCTCAGATAAAAAAGGCAAAACATAGACACTTACCCCAATTCTCGATTCAAAATTCAAACTTCTCTTTGATGGCTATAAGAAAAAAAAAAAAATAAATTCAGTATGCTAGTAAAAAAAAAAAGCTGAAAACATGAAATAACAGCAATAGATCTCTAGCAGCTGAAGGCCAATAAAGCGCAGAAGGGTCCTCCAAAAGAGGGGTCTAAATATTTTATGCAAATTAAAACCTGCCAACCTGCCATGACTGTCTAATAAATATATAGGATTTCTGTGGAACTATGAATGTAAATTAACATTCTATACATGAAGGCTACTTACTGTTCAGAATAACATTGGAAAGCTAAAGAATTATATTGTAGACTGCAATGTACTTTATCTCATTGATAAAGAGATCAATCCATGGTCTAAACAGAAGAGGCCAACCTTATTTATCCTATATGGGTTAACACAAAAATGTGACTTAAAGTATAGGTGTAAATCGTTAATCTTCCTCTTCTTTGGAACTTTGAAACTAAACATTTCCCCATGCTGTGGTTTCTTCTTTTTCCTGCACACACACCTTCACATAACCCCACAACACAAATGGCCATAGAAGGATGCTTGCAAAAAAAAAAAAAAAGAAAAGAAAAATTTACTTTCAACTGAATTCTGAAACTGATGCAAGGCTCCTGGCAGTTTTTTATTAAGAGTTACAAGAATGCTGTTGCAATAGATTTAGATCACATTCCTTTGCCATTGCACCCTGTATTGTAGAGGTATAACTGTTGGCACACTTCATCCCACTGATACTTCACAAGTTCCTAGGAAAAGGGTCCTAGTTTGGGTGATTTCAACATATATATATATATATATATATATATATATATATATATATATATATATATATATATATATATATATATATATATATACACACATATATACACACATATACACACACACACACATATACATATACATACACACACGCACACACACACACACATTTATTATGTTGAAATCACCCAAACTAGGACCCTTTTTATATACACACACACACATATAAATATATACACACATATACATATACACACACACACAAATATAAATATATACACACATATACATACATACATACACACACACACACACACACACATATATAAATATATACACACATATACATACATACATACACACACACACACACACACACACACACATATATATAAATATATACACACATATACATACAAAAACAGAGTGTTCGCACACAGTATATACATACATACAAAAACAGAGATGCTCAGTGGACAATAAAATAATATTTATTAAACTACTAATAAAAGCTAAAGCTATATGTCTATGGGAAGACATTGTTTATTTTAATAGAGAACAACTGTCCAAATCCAAAAGTGCAATTCCTCATGTAACAAACTGTTGCCTGACTATAGTTATGTGCTATAGACAGCCATTGCTACCAACCTCAGTATCTCTGGGGAGTTACCAAACCGAGAGAGAAACTGTACTCATGACACAACAAAACTGCCGTCACTCTTCTTTTCCATAGAAATAAAAATACGCCCCCATGGTTTTCACTCACTTTTTTGGCAACCTAACTTTTCAAACAAACATGTTAAGTAAGGGAGGCACAATTGAAGTCATATCACTATGTCCAATTTTCTCCATCTAGACATTAACCCTTTCTATGGCAGCCAACAAGCATCTTAATTGTAACTATAAAAAGCAATAGTTGCAGGTATTAGAAATGACCCAAATCACATTACCTGACACATGAGAGGCTGACAACAGTCTCCTGTACACATGGGTTTGCTGGTTGAGTATTAACTGCTGTGCGTCCCATTTTACCAGTACACTTCACCTGCCCACAGATGCTATACATTAACATTGTTTTCAGCAGAGGAAAAGGGGTGGGCATTCCAGCCATACTATTCTGGGAAGTATTTGACTCAGACCAGGATTACTTCATCCATCCAACTCTGCTAGAGTAAACTTTCCAGGAAAGCCAACCTAGGACAGGCTTCCCACAGTCTGCATACGTATACATAGACCAACCCTTCAGTTTCCTTATGTAAGGCAAGCTAAGTAAAAACACCATATACATACACTGAACTTAAAAACCAACTAAAAGCCGCTAATGCATTCAGATAAGTGTTTTTATTCTCAATTGCAGTAACCAATGGGAAAAACATAGAAAATAACCTGCTTCAGGATGAAAGATTTTAATTGAATGTCTGGGTCTGCACATTGGATGAATGAGGCCCAGGCTAAGTTAAGAAAATGCAGGATGAGAATGATGATGGTGACATGTCTGATTGCAGTCATTTATAGCAACCAGATTTTGGTTAAACTGTAACTCTAGCCTTTTCTTTTAGTCTTGGCCACCAGAGTGGGAAAGTTTAAACAGCTTCTATCATTGATTTTATTGCCCTACTAAGATTTCATCTTCACTTACTGATCCACTGATTATTGAAGAGTAGCGTTAAAAGAGCAAGATGTAAGGAGAAATCTCCCCAAAGGGAATACAGGTAACAATGCATACCTTACTAAGGCTCTAAATGCTCACCAGTCTATCAAAAAGGTAAAACATATTCTGGCTGGAGTTCCACTTACGATAGGCAGATTAGTAAAAGGTGATTCTACTGGATTGACCACAGCACAAATTTCACTGCGGTTTGTCCAGGCCAATGCAGTACACACAGTAAACACTTATGGGGAGATTTACTCAAACTCGAGAACTGAGAATCTGCTGCAGCTCTGCAAAGAAACCAGCTTCCATGTTTTATTGTCAAAGTTTAATTGAACAAGTTGAAGTTAGAAGCTGCCCCAGAGATTGAGATTTTGCACTCTCCAGTTTTAGTAAATCTCCCCCTTAGCTGATGAAAACTGTGCAATGTATTATACATATTAAATATGGTTGTTATTCTTTAACAGTATTAGCATTTACCAGTAAAGGAGGCAGTCTTTTAGAGGAATTAACAAATCTGCCAGCAGATGGAGACAAAAGAATTCAGATGTTATAGACTGAAGTGTTTGGCTCTGTTTTCCCATGCATAAATTGAATACTAAGCTCCAGAGCCAGAAATAAAACTACTGGGGAGAACCTCTTTCATTCTGCTATATTATATTAAAATGATTCAATGTAATAACTTCATTCTGTACTACACAAAGCTAGGTTGCAGTATCCAGAGCTGTTAATCCTGTGCAGCCAACAGGTTCCCTGTGCACTATTATCTGTTATCAGCAATATTATCATATAAATAAATTACACACACATATACACACGCACACACACATATATATATATATATATATATATATATATATATATATATACACGCACACACACATATATATATATATATATATATATATATATATATATACATATACACACACACATGTATATATGGGCCCAAAAATAGATTTTTCCCTGCTGCTTACTTGCCATTATTCACTATTATTATTATTATACAGTATTTATAAAGCGCCAATAGTTCGCTCAGCGCTGTACATTACAAAGGGGGACAGAACATGTGACAGAACAATACCAATACAATGCAAAACATGAGGGGATTGAGGGCCCTGCTCTTTCAGGCTTACAATCTAGGAGACTAGGAGGACTACAGCATATTAATCTTTCCTCACATGTGCTTTAAATCATGTTCACTTAAAATATTATGCTTAATGCAATACTTAATTCTGACCTTAACATATACAAAAGGTATCTGTTTATATAAACTGGGCCACGCCTACGGAGTTGCAAACTCAATGATATAAAACAATAACTTAATGCTGTACTGAATATTGTTAGCTGCAGAGGCATAAAATTGCTTGGTTAGGTATATGGTGGTCCAAGGACAATTCATCAGAAGCTGACACATCCAAAAACAAAAAAAAACAAAGTTCTTTGGTTCATAAAAATATCCAACACCAATCATTCATATCTGCACAGTTAGCTATCAATATGTATAAGCCTGCTATGGTTTCGGTGATGGGTATCTACAAAGCCTCAGAGAAAGTGTAGGTGGCAGATCTTTCTAATGGAAGCAGTGGAGATTAGAAAGCAGAGTGGGATGTGTGATATCACTCTGTGTAATGTTTGTTTCATTATGAATGTAAAAAAAGTAGATTACAGGCTCTGAGCACTCAGACATACTGAGCCCTTTTATTTCACTGTAACCAGGTAATAAGGTTCAGCAGTAGTAAGGTCTTGATTTGATATTATAGGTCTGGCAGTAAATGTGTTTAATAACCCAAGGGGAAGGGGAAGCCGTCAAAGTAAGAGTTAAAGTAGAAATCATTCAAGACATAGCCAGCGTTCTTACCACCCAGACACTTCAAGGAAAGGAAGAGTTTACTTGATCTTAAACAGGCTGGCCTGGGAGTCTAATTCAGATGGCTTCTTCGTAGGGAGAGGAAAGAAGGGCCAATTCTCCTAGTTTGCTTTCCAGCTGAGAATCACTTTCAAGTTCATTGGATTAATTATTTAAAAATACACAAGCCGCCTGGGATTTGTGACTGACAAGAGAGATCTCCCTGCAATGTTACTCATTCCTTATTTAACCAACAACTTGTAACAGTATCAGAGAAGTGCACGTTCCAAGGGATACTTCACAGGCCAGCGCCGGACTGGTTAACCCTCTTGCCAAGCAGTCACGAAGAGCCAAGAGGAATCAAGTGAAGACACAAGACTGGGACACCTTATAGGAAGGTATGGTATTGCTTCTGAGTGTACAGGAACAAGTACAATTCCTCTACTGTAGGAATGCAGATGT